TCCATTCTATTCTACCTTAATCCTATTCCTATTCCTGTCCTGTCCTATTCTATTCTATTCTTTCATATTCCTATTCCATTCCATTCTATTCTACCTTAATCCTATTCCTATTCCTGTCCTGTCCTATTCTATTCTATTCTTTCATATTCCTATTCCATTCCATTCTATTCTACCTTAATCCTATTCCTATTCCTATTCTGTCCTGTCCTATTCTATTCTATTCCCATTCTATTGTACCTTAATCCTTTTGTTGTGGCCCATCGGCAGAACTGGCAACAGATTTGGACAGTGAGAAGGTTGGGGAGGAACCTGGGCCAGTCCTGGAGTCTGGGGAAGGCTCGGATGAAGGCTCTGCATCGGAGGCAGAGAGAGGGCCGTATGCCAGTTATCCACTGCCTTCGGAGTCAGACATCAGTGCGGCAGACAAACAGCTGGAGCCTGTCCCCAGTGTGCGGATGCGCAGAGCTGCCAAACAAAGGGAGCAGCTAAGGAACAAGGGCCAACTTGGGAGTGAGGCCACAGGTGGACGATAAACGGCCCCTCCCATAGGGAATAAAAGAGGAGCGAAAGATAGTTCGCTTAATTGGTTCGTGACTCTCAAAGGCTCCTTGCTAAGTTTTGAAGAGATCGGCCTGGCAGCTCTCCAAGCCAGATAAGGTCTGTGACTGTAAAATTCACCCTTGGAAGACTTTGCTGGGTGTGAATAAGAAGAATTCACAGCAACTTAATAAAAAAAGGGTATTTTGTCAGGACAAGGAGTCTGGTTTGGGGAAGCCTAGGTCGGAATACCTTCTCTTCAATAGATACCTAGCTCCTTCAACCCTTCATGATACAGTTTAGCTTCCAGCCCCCTGATCTTCTTCGTTGCTCTTCCCTGTACAATTTCTAGGGTTTCAGCATCTTTTTTGTATTGCGGTGACCAGAACTGGGTGCAATATTTCAACTGCGTGTGGTTTCACCAGTGTGGCATTAAAAAAAAGCGGAACTATCCCTTCTCGTGATCTTGATGCGCAGTTGAGGGATATTCCCCACCATCTATTCCCTGCTACGTCATTCCCTGCATGCATTCCTGAGGGCTAGAAACATGCCTTTTACACAACCCGTCTCTACAGCTTACTGCAAATTGCAAGCTCTTTTCTTTAGTAAACAGAAGCTCACCAACGAATGCAAAAATTTTCCGTAACTTCCGGGGAACATTCGGTGGGAAATCTTCTCTACTAAATCTCCCCCCCCCCGGCCACCGCCGCCCCCGTACAAGGTTGAAAATGAAGCAAGTCACCTTACCTGTAGGTGTAGGGGCCAACTTCCTTGACGATAGGGTTTTCCCCTTTTAGCACTTCTAAAGGATTAGTCAAGTTAAAGAAATAGACCTGCAGGAGAAGGGGAATTGGAGGATGCTCCCAGAATTCAAAAGCTTCCGAATTATTTCTTAAGGTCGTTCCCTAAAGGAAAAAAAAGAGAGAGTACTGTTTTATCAGTGGCTGGGGGGGAAAAACTTGGAAATGAAAAATGTTTTACTNTGAAAGCTAGGTGGTTGACTTTGCTTCTCTCCCTCCCTCTCTCTCTCTCAGTCCAACCTACCCCACAGGGGTGTTGTTGTGGGGGAAAATAGGAGGAAGGAGTGTTATGTATGTGTGCTGCCTTGAGTTACTTGTAAAAGTAATTAAGGCAGCATTAAAAAAAATATCTAATAAATCCATAAGAATAAAAAGGGAGTCTTGAAGTTGTTGTTTTTCAACAGAGGTCAAAAAAAATCTCTGCTCAACTTTGCAAATAAAATACAACAGTTAACAAGCTCCCTCTGAACACAACGTCATTATAAAAGAATGTAGCTTCCTAGCCAAGAAATTTCCCAAAAGGCGGAACAACAATGCTGAGTTAAAATTCAGAAAATTGTGGAGGAAATTATCACCGTTAGTGAGATTCCGGATGGGTTTATTCTCCCCGCCCATAACTTTTGCTAGAGGCAAAAAAATAAATAAAAGATTATAAGAAGAAGAAGGAGAAAAAAATATCCAGCAAATACAGCACTAGATAAACACCTGTTTATATCTATTTTGCCTAGCTAACGAAAGGCACTTTGACTTGACAAAGACTGCAGTCATTGCTTGCCCAGCCAAGCAAAAATTTACAAATAAAAAAAAAGCTACATAAAGGACTATTTAAGCTTGCAAACACAAAGGAGACTTCAGTTCCCTGCATTTCCTATTGAAATTCAGGCTCACTCTGTCTTGGCAAGTCCGAGCAAAAACCAGAAGAACCGAACGAGGTAGGGGAAAAGTCTAGAAAAGAAGATTTTTTTTTTGCCCCGGCTTAAAAAACCTTTTTTCCAATTGCAACTGAACTTCTGTCCTTTTAAACTGGCGTTGCGTCCTGCACCTGAAGGAAATTTGCACAGATGTCGAGTGGACAAAGCTGCCTTAAATTAGACCACAGATCCGGAGAACGAGGAACGCTTAGGGATTTAGCAAAGTCTCTAATAGAATTATTTGCTTTTTGCCCCCTTGGGAGGTAACGAGAGATGAGCAAGAGCAATACTAAAAGCAATGCCCTTACTACAGGGGTGCCAAGCTCAATTTCATGGAGGGCCGCATCAGGGTTGTGTTTGACCATCGGGAGGGGGAGGAGCTCCACATCACTCGTATCGGGGGCACCTGTGGCAGCCCAAGCGCTCGACTAATGAAAACAGGCTCCCGAGCTCTGTTTTTGGCTGCGACGGCCTCCTGCAACCCTCGGCCAGTGAAAACGGAACTCCGGAGGGCCGCTGTTAACTCCCCACCAAAAGTGGTTCCTATTTTTCTACTTGCAATTTACATCCTTCCGAACTGCTAGGTTGGCAGATGCTGGGACAAATAATGAGAGCTCACTCTGTTACGTGGTGCTTGGGATTCGAACTGCTGACCTTTCGATCGACAATCTCAGCATCTTTAACTTTAACTTTTAATAAATTTATATGCCGCCCAATCTCGTAGGGCTCCGGGCGGCATCTTAGCCACCGAGTCACTGCATCCCACTGCATATATTAGGTAGATGTAAACCTCTAAGCCACGGGCTCTCCTTCCTTTGTCGGCTATACCAGGGGAGAGATTTCAGTGTTTTTTTCCTGCGAGACCGGTCTATCGGGGCAACCTGGTCTACCCAAATATGGGTAGCATATTCTCCTGCGCTAAGCTATAAACCATGGTTTATGAACCTAATGACCAGCTCTGTGAAGCAAACTAAACTACAAACAAACCAGCCACACAATCCGCGAACTGAACCTGAATGCAAACAACAGTTTCCACACATGCCCTGGATTTGCAACTGGATGCTACGAACTGTTATTCGTAAGGAGACACCACATTAAATCACTCTGCATATTGTGACATATTGCAAAACATGCAGGCTGAAGCCAACGACGCAAGGATTCGTTGATTCCCAGGCCTGAGGAAACTGCAATATAAGCAAGGGAGAAATTGCAAAAAAATATTCATGGTTGGAATATTCTAAGCAATCAGTCTTGGGAATGTCTGCTTGGCAATGCAGAATGGGAAGAGGGTTGAATCGGTGGGCGGGCAGGAGAATTAAAGGTACCAGCTCTGAAAACATGGGGTGAGCCTCTCTCCCATTACTGAGGCTAACAACGGCACTTAAGACTTACATGCCACTTCATAGTACTTTACACCCCTCTCTATAAGCAGTTTACAGAGTCAGCCCCTTGCCCCCAACAATCTGGCTCCTCGTTTTTACCCACCTCAGAAGGATGGAAGGCTGAGTCAACCTTGAGCCAGTCAGGATCGAACTGCTGGCAGTGAGCAGTACTGCACTCTAACCACTGGGCCATCATGGCTCTAGAATCTAGTCCAGAATATTAGAACCTAGAATCATAGGGCTAGAAGGGCCTCAGAAATTTGTAGTCCCTGGTCAGGGGAGGAGACCTTATACTATCCCAGTCAAATAGCTGTTCAGTCCATTTTTGAAAACCTTCAGTGATACAGGCCCCACAACTGTGGAGGGGCAAGACATTCCCTTCATTAATTGTTCTCACTGTCAGAAAATTTCTCTAACAACCTGACTTGGTCTCTTCATATGTTATATTTAGTAAAGTGTGCAAAAAGAAAATCTGCATTTCCCACATCAGATGAGGAGAGCACATCTTTCTCCTTCTGTCCTCGCCACTTTTTACAGAGGCACGATTGAGAGCGTTTTAACAAACAGCATCCCTGTTTGGTTTGGTGGCAGTAGCGCCTCAGATAGAAAGCCCATACAGAGAGTGGTGAGGACAGCGGGGATGATTATATGAAGCTCGCTTCCCGTTATTCAGGATACTGCTTATAAGCGCTATGTTCTTAAGGGCTCGAAGCATTGTTAGAGACCCCACACAACCCACTTTATGGTCTGTTTCTGTTGCTCCCCTCTGGGAGGAGGTTTCAAAGTACCTATAGCAGGACTGCTAGATTCGGTAACAGCTTTGTTCCCTACGCCATCCCTCTTATAAGTTCGCAGGATTCTTGTTTCGTCATGTATATGTATACATGTGAACTAAACTGTGATGTTTCTCTGTGTCATAATGTGTGTTTGTGTGTAGGGGTATGTGCATAATGGTTATCTTTTGAGAGTTGAATGCAATTAAATTTCATTTTAATGAAATCTTCTCTACTAAATCTCACCCACCCCCCCGCCACCGCCCTTGTACAAGGTTGAAAATGGTGATTAGTGTCCATTTAAGTGACAAAGTTCTAGTTCTGTTCTTATTTTATTCTATTCTTTCCTATTCCTATTCCATTCCATTCTATTCTACCTTAATCCTATTCCTATTCCTGTCCTGTCCTATTCTATTCCTTCCTATTCTTATTCCATTCCATTCTATTCTACCTTAATCCTATTCCTATTCCTGTCCTGTCCTATTCTATTCTTTCCTATTCTTATTCCATTCCATTCTATTCTACCTTAATCCTATTCCTATTCCTGTCCTGTCCTATTCTATTCTTTCCTATTCTTATTCCATTCCATTCTATTCTACCTTAATCCTATTCCTATTCCTGTCTTGTCCTATTCTATTCTTTCCTATTCTTATTCCATTCCATTCTACTCTACCTTAATCCTATTCCTATCCTGTTCTATTCTATTCTTTCCTATTTTTATTCGATTCCATTCTATTCTACCTTAATCCTATTCCTATCCTATTCTATTCTATTCTTTCCTATTCCATTCTATTCTACCTTAATCCTATTCCTGTCCTGTCCTATTCTATTCTATTCTTTCATATTCCTATTCCATTCCATTCTATTCTACCTTAATCCTATTCCTATTCCTGTCTTGTCCTATTCTATTCTTTCCTATTCTTATTCCATTCCATTCTACTCTACCTTAATCCTATTCCTATCCTGTTCTATTCTATTCTTTCCTATTTTTATTCGATTCCATTCTATTCTACCTTAATCCTATTCNTCTTTCTTCCTTTCTTTCTCTTTCTCTTTCTCTTTCTCTCTCTGTGTGAGTCTGTGTGTGTGGGGGGGGGTTTTCAAAAATTTTTGGAACCTCTTCTGTAGGTGTGGCCTGCTTTCCGGGTCCACTGGTGGAACCTCTTCTAACCAGTTCGGTAGATTTGACGAACCGGTTCTACTGAACAGGTGCGAACTGGTAGGAACCCACCTCTGTGCTGCCAGGACATTTTAATAGATGCCTCTTGAAAAAAAAGCACCATTGGGACAACCTTGACCTGGATGACGGAGAATCCCCATAGACATCCGTGTTTGTGTTTCTCCTTCCTGTAGATGCCTTCAGTTTCCACAGTTTGTGTCTGTCGTTTAACCAAGTGAGCAGTAGCTACACTGGATGCATTTGACGTTTCCCTCTTTTTCACGGCCTACTAGATAGTGTCAAAGTTATCGATCATTCAAGGACCTCCTCTTCGCCAGGACCAAACCTCGAAATAGATCTCTCGACCTTGTTGGCTTTATTTCCGGAGAAAGACAAGGAAGATGAAATGAAACAGGTATGGGAAAGCTGGCCTACCCAACTTCGTGGCCCCAAAGATAGAAACAAATTTAGACACGAACAGAAGAGAAGAATGTTAAGAGAAAGGGTAAAATTCATTATTATTTTTTACTACCGGTTCTGTGGGTGTGGCTTGACGGGCGTGGTGTGGCTTGGTGGGCGTGGCAGATGCTGCCTGAGATTGGTGGTTTTCTTGCACAGGTTTCCTTACCCAACTAGGTAACATCATCAGTGCTAGGAGGGATGGGGAGTGGGAGAAGAAGAAAGAAGGAGGAGGAGGAGGGAGGAAGAAGAAGTGGAGGAGGAGAAGGACTGTAGGTCCTTGATGCTCTCTAAGCATGGTTACTTTCTTGCAGAACTTTCATGACCCAACTAGGTAACATCATCAGTGCTAGAAGGGAGTGGAGTTTGCAGAGAGGAGGAGGAGGAGGAGGAGGAGGAGGAGGAGGAGAAGGAGAGGAGAGGAGGAGAAGGAGAGGAGAGGAGGAGAACTATGGAGTCTTTGGTGCTGAGTTTGGTGGTTTTCTTGCAGAACTTTCATGACCCAACTAGGTAACATCATCAGTGCTAGAAGGGAATGGAGTTTGCAGAGAGGAGGAGGAGGAGGAGGAGGAGGAGGAGGGGGAGGAGAGGAGGAGGAGGAGAACTATGGAGTCTTTGGTGCTCTCTGAGTTTGGTGGTTTTCTTGCAGAACTTTCATGACCCAACTAGGTAACATCATCAGTGCTAGAAGGGAATGGAGTTTGCAGAGAGGAGGAGGAGGAAGAAGAGGAGGAGGAGGAGAAGGGGAGGAGGAGGAGAACTATGGAATCTTTGGTGTTCTCTGAGCTTGGTTGCTTTCTTGCAGACCTTTCATAACCCAACAAGGTGACATCATCAGTGCTAGAAGAGAGTGGATTTTGTGGAGAGGAGGAGGAGGAGGAGGAGAACTGTGGGATCCTTGCTGCACTCTGAGCTTGGTGGCTCCCTTGCAGATGTTTCATAACCCAAACTAGGTAACATCATCAGGCTGATGGAAGGGAAAAAATAACATGTGGATCTTTGCAACCTTACTGCCCTACTTAAATTCTGGACTCAACTGTGGTCGTAAGTCAAAGACGGCCTGCCGTTACCTGTAGAGTGATCTCTGCAAGTATGTGATGGGGCAGCTGAGAATACATGAGGCCCAGCCCCACAATGGCCTCCAGTTCTCCACACTCAGCTGCATGTTCCAGATGGAAGAGAGCTGAATCCTGATCCCACTCTTGGTCCTTTTCGCAAAACCGGCCAGCTTCGTGGTACCGAACCATGGCCAGGTGGACCTAATTGAGAGGAGGGGCAAAAAGGCTGTTAATGGTACGTAGGAAAAGACCTTGAGGGACAGATAACAGATGAACAGAGTTGGAAGGGACCTTGGAGGTCATCTAGTCCAACCGCCCATCCTAGCAGGAGACCCTACACCATTTCTGACAGATGGTGGTCCAGTCTCTTCTTGAAAGCCTCCAATGATGAAGCTCCCACAGCTTCCGAAGGCAACTTCTGTTCCATGGATTGATGGTTCTCGTGGTCCGAAAATTCCTCCTTATTTCCAGGTTGAATCTCTCCTTGTTCAGTTTCCATCCATTATTCCTTGTCGGGTGCCTTGAAAAATAGTTTGACCCCCTGCTCTCTGTGGCATCCCCTCAAATATTGGAAGACTGCCATCATGTCTCCCCTGGTCCTTCTCTTCACTAGACTAGCCATGCCCAGTTCTGTTCTGACCGAGGCTTCCCAAGAGCATGAAGCAAACTCCTGGTCCCGACAAAACCCCCTTTTATTAATTGAC